TGTATTCGGCTTTTTGCATGGCGTGGGGGGAGGGTTAGTGCCCCCGTTGGGGAGATTCCTTTGACTTCCTGTCCTGGGGTCACTACAGAATGTGAGGTGAGATCTCTCCAACAATTCCCCCGCTCCATCCAAAACTTTCCACTTTGTGTCCCCCTCCCCCCATCTGTGCTGAACAATGCCAACCTTCTAGGACAATAGACAAAGGGTTCCGTGCCACCTGTACCTGGCAGCTGCTCCATTGTCACATGACATCCCGCTCCCGGCGACACGAACAAAGGATCCCGACCGTCACAGACCGCACACCCAGCACAATTATACAGACACCCTTTCATCTCCTCCACCATTGTCCTCCCAACTCCTTGTGCTGAGTGGCCACCTACTGGCTGAAAGCTGAAATCAGGCTTGCAGGGAGAGCAGCTGCTCCAGAAACCTCAGCAGGTGAGGGAAGACAGGGGGGAGGACTATGGGTGGGCGTTACCAATGCGGTGATGTCACTCAAGAAGAGCAGGAGGCGGGCAGGAAGGAGGAGGCCGCAGAATTGCAGACTCCAGAAAGTCGTTGTCTCTGGTTTAGGGCCCCAAGAATTGGAGGAAATGGTTTAGGGCCCCAGGAATTGGAGGAAATGGTTTAGGGCCCCAGGAATTGGAGGAAATGGTTTAGGGCCCCAAGAATTGGAGGAAATGGTTTAGGGCCCCAGGAATTGGAGGAAATGGTTTAGGGCCCCAAGAATTGGAGGAAATGGTTTAGGGCCCCAGGAATTGGAGGAAATGGTTTAGGGCCCCAGGAATTGGAGGAAATGGTTTAGGGCCCCAAGAATTGGAGGAAATGGTTTAGGGCCCCAGGAATTGGAGGAAATGGTTTAGGGCCCCAGGAATTGGAGGAAATGGTTTTTAGGGCCCCAAGAATTGGAGGAAATGGTTTAGGGCCCCAGGAATTGGAGGAATTGGTTTAGGGCCCAGGAATTGGAGGAAATGGTTTAGGGCCCCAAGAATTGGAGGAAATGGTTTCGGGCCCCAGGAATTGGAAGATGTGGTTTAGGGCCCCAGGAATTGTAGGAATTGGTTTAGGGCCCCAGGAATTGGAGGAAATGGTTTAGGGCCCCAGGAATTGGAGGAAATGGTTTAGGGCCCCAAGAATTGGAGGAAATGGTTTAGGGCCCCAAGAATTGGAGGAAATGGTTTCGGGACCCAGGAATTGGAAGATGTGGTTTAGGGCCCCAGGAATTGGAGGAATTGGTTTTAGGGCCCCAGGAATTGGAAGAAGTGGTTTAGGGCCCCAGGAATTGGAGGAAATGGTTTAGGGCCCTAGAAATTGGAAGAAGTGGTTTAGGGCCCTAGAAATTGGAAGAAGTGGTTTAGGGCCCTAGAAATTGGAAGTAAATGGTTTAGGGCCCTAGAAATTGGAAGTAAATGGTTTAGGGCCCCAGGAATTGGAAGAAAAGGTTTAGGGCCCCAGAATTGGAGGAAATGGTTTAGGGCCCTAGAAATTGGAAGAAAATGGTTTAGGGCCCCAGGAATTGGAGGAAATGGTTTAGGGCCCCAGGAATTGAGGAAATGGTTTAGGGCCCCAGGAATAGGAGGAAATGGTTTAGGGCCCTAGGAATTGGAGGAAAATGGTTCAGGGCCCCAAGAATTGGAGGAAAATGGTTTAGGGCCCCAGGAATCAGCCAGTCTAGGAAAGCCAGCTCTTCCAGACTGACATCCACCCTTCAAGCCATTTTGATATTTGCATAACTCCTCCCAAAACCCAGCCCACTGCTTGCGTCAGGACTGAGGGCTTCTGAGAAGAGTGCTGAGGCAGGGAGCTGTTTTTTTTTTTTTTTTTCCAGGAAGCTACGTACAGCCCCCTGCTGGCCACTCCCAACAGCCATGATATGCCTGCATTGCATAGAGAAGCACAGAGGCCCAATAATGACATCACTGGATCTAAAATAAGATATGTAATGAAAACAGAAAGTTGTATTTCTGAATCTCATTGTCCTGTTGATGGGGGGGGGGGAGGGGGTGAGTGGGGGGGGTGGGGGCCCGGGCAAGGGGGGGGGGTGGGAACGGGGGGGCTGACCGAGGACAAGTAGATTACACTTCAGCCATGAAGTCAGCCAGTAAAGGGGCATCGCCTCCACTCCAGATGTTCCTCATTGATCCATGACTGACACCATACAAGACCCCACTACTGCGAATCTACACCACCCCCCCCCCCCATGGCTCATATACGGGCCATTTCCAGTAAGTCATGTATGGGGGGATAGTAAAGGGGCGGGGCCATCAGCACTTTGATGTACGAGGAGCTATAAGAAGGACTAATAGAGTTCCCAGAAAAGGATGGAAATGATTGTTCGTCTGAAAGCAGAATGATGGCTGTGCAGCTGGAGGAGGGAGACTCCCCTTTATAATGTGTGTTATTGTTTCATATCATCCAATGGGGGGAAGTATTGGGGGGTCCCGGATCTGACTGACGCTCCCTCTTTGTGTCTCCGCAGTCACACTCATGAACACCAAAC